AGTGGTGGGCCGCGGCAGCGGCGGCGGCAGCGGCTGCGGCTGCCGATGGTGCGCCAGACGACGAAGACGACGACGACGACGACGAAGGGTCGGCAGCGGCGAAGCGAGAGGCAGAGGACGTGGGAGGCGAAGAGGTGGTGGTGGCCTGGACGTAGGACGAGGAGCTCGAGGGCAGCCCGGGGCTGGCGCTGCCGAGGTTGAGCGACGACATCATCTGGGAGGCGGTGCGGCTGCGGGGTTGACTGCTGTCAGTGGTGGTGTTGGTAGTGGTGGTGGTGTTGGTAGTGGTGGTGGTGGAAGTGGGTGCCGGGTCAGAGTCGGTCGAGGATTCCGCCGCGACGGGGCCGGGGTCGCGGCCGCAGTCTAGCCCGTGACCGTCTTGGGCGAGGTTGGGGTCGTCTGTGCTGTGCGGCGGCTGGAGGTTGGGGATGGGGTGAGCGGCGGCCGAGATGGAGCCTGCGAGGCCCTTTAGGTCGTTGGACGACATATTTGCGCGTGCGAGGGCGGATGCGAAGAACTGGTCAAAGAAGGCCGAGCCGCCGTCGGGCTGTTGTTGCTGCGGCGGCGGTGATGCGGCCGACGATGCGGTCGAGTGGTGCTGGTCCTGGGCCTGGTCGAGGCCGTTGCTTGTGGCAGGCGGTGGTGTGGAAGGCGACATGGGGGCCGGGGGGGGAGTGCCGCCAAGATTGCCGTGCGATCCGACCTTGAGGTCCGGCGATGGCGAAGGAGGGGGGCGGGCTCTAAGTTGAGGCGAGTCGAGGCGATGCGATGCAAGTCCAAGATCGCGGTCAGGATGAAGCAGGGCGAGGTTGAACAAGGATGCAGGCAGGGAAGGAAGCCAGCCAGCCTGGGACGACGACGACGACGACGACGGCGGCGAGCACAGGGCCGGGCTCACCAGGGTCTGGCTCCTTTGAGCGAGCGGCCCAGGCCGATTCGGTAGAGCTTTGGGCGGGCGAGGGCTATCAGGCCAGCCAGCCCCACCTACCGGCCGCCGCCCCCCGCCACGCCCTTTTTTGCCGTCAATTTCATTCTGGATTCTGACTCGCAGGCGCCTGGGCTGGCCTGGCCTGGCCCGCTCGCACCGACCTCATCCGCACGGACATGCTTGCAGGCGGGCCATCGTGTGGCTCTCTATCTGCTGCCTGCTTCCTCGCTCGCCCATGCTGCTGCTGTCTGTCCGCTCCCTCGGCACCGTCACGACCTGGCCTGGCCTGGCCTAGTCTGACCTGACCCCGACTCGACCTGCCCTCCTTGTGGGTCGGATCAGATGGGCGCTCCCCACTTGCTCGCCACCTGGCTTCCTCGAGCACAACAACGCACGCACGGTGGACCAACGACTGCTGGCCCCCGCCCCCAATTTAGAGCTGGAGCTGGAGCTGGAGCTGGAGCTGGAGCTGGAGCTGGAGCTGGAGCTGGAGCTGGAGCTGGAGCTGGAGCTGGAGCTGGAGCTGGGGCTGGGCAAAGGCGCCGGCAGGCAAGATGACCGAGGCCCCACGCCGACGAGCTGGCGAGCTGCGAGGCGGGTTTTTCTTCCAACTTTTTTTTTTTCTCCTCGCCTCCTGGGCCGGTTCTTCTGGGCTGGCTGGCTGGCTGGCTGGCCGGCTCCACCTTGGGGGCACCATACGTCTTGGGTGTGTCGTCGCTTTCCCCCCTCCTTCCCTTCTCTCTTTCCTATGGCGACTGCCCACCCACCATAGGTTCCCCTCCCTCACCGAGTGCGACCACGACAGCACACCTCTTCACCAACTCACCTCACCTCACCCTACCCACCACGCCCTCGCCCTTTTCTTCTCCTGGCCCACCATGTCGCTCGACCAGCTGCCCGACGACCACTACCGTCCCACCTACGAGGACATCCACATCTCGATTGGCCAGTCGGCGCGCAAGATCAAGGACGAGTTTGACCCGGACCTCATGGTCGCCATCGGCGGCGGCGGCTTCTACCCGGCCCGCGTCCTCCGCACCTTCCTCAAGAAGCCCAGCGCCCTCGACCCCAACAAGCTGCGCAACATCCCCATCCAGGCCATCGGCCTCAGCCTCTACGAAGAGGTCTCGGGCACCTCCGAGGGCCAGATTGGCAACGAGGTCGTCCGGACCCAGTGGCTCGACGCAAAGACCGTCAGCGGCCACAAGGGCGCCGCCAAGCTCGAGGAGGGCAAGGACGCCGGCGGCCTGCTGGGCAAGAACGTCCTCATCGTCGACGAGGTCGACGACTCGCGCACCACGCTTCAGTACGCCTACTCGGAGCTGCTCAAGGACGTCAAGCACGCCATCGCCAACCTCTCGGACGACGAGCGCGCCGCCCTGCCCCCCACCCGCTTCGCCATCTTTGTCGTGCACAACAAGGAAAAGACGGGCGGCAAGCGCGGCACCCTGCCCATCCTCGCAGCCGACCTGCCAAAGGGCGCCGACAAGATCGTCGACGGCGTCAGCGAGGGCGTGCGCTACTACACCACCCAGGACACGGGCGACGTCTGGATCTCGTACCCGTGGGAGGAGGAGGACATTGTCGAGCACAACCGCCTCGCCGCCCTCGCAAAGAAGCTCCAGGTCAACCAGGCAAAGTGAGGGCAGTGCGGCGCAGCGCAGAGCAGCGCGCCGCCTTTGGCCCCAGCTTCGGCCCCAGCCTCGGGCCCGGCCTTGCCCTCCCCGCAGCCAGCCAGCCAGCCAGCGTGCCTGCCTCGATTCCCTCCTTTTGCTCCATCCTCCTTCCTCGCCCGCCCGCCCGCCCGCCCGCCTCCCCCCCCCTTCGACCAACCCATTCTGTTTCATAGCTGTATAATGAGAGCCCCGCGTCTTAGAAGGAATCACCAAGAAGATGGAAACCGCAGACGCTGCCCTCAGTCGCCGAGCGACTGGCTCAGCTCGGTGGAGCGCGTGGAGCGCGCCGCGAAGGTCGAGCGAGGTGCACCGAGGGCTGGCCTGCAGCGGCTGGATTGGACTCTGCCCTCCTCTCGTCCGAGTGAAGAACGAGACGAGGCCCGGCGAGGGAGTGCTTCTCGCGCTTGGGCCATCACTAACGTCAGGCCTGGAAAAAGATGGAAGGCGGCCTGCGGGCCAGAGCCAAAGGACCGAGCGAGCGGAGGCCGGGGGCCTACTCTACTCTACTGCCGCTGCCTGGCAGAGCCACGAGACCCCGAGGGCAGGCTGGGCTTGCTTGGGGCTCACCGCTGACTTTGCCTGGCCTAACCTGGCCTGGCCTGGCCTGCCTTGCCTGCGCTGCGCAGGGCCCGTCCGCCCGCTTCCAAAGCCCCGCCCCGAGCAACACACCCTGCCTTGCCTCTTGAAGACCCCTGCTGGCGCGCGCGCGCGCTCTCTCTCCGTCCCCTCTGGCTGGCAGGCCAGCTCAGGCCACCGCGAGACGGCAGGGCCCTGTCCGACCCAGTCAAGCAGCGCAGGCGGGCACAGGAGAAGCCCTCGCTCGAAGCTGACCTGCCCCGCTCGCCTGCTCGCCTGCCCGCTCGCGCCACACAGACAACCCCCGGTCTACCCACTCGCCGCCCTTCATTCCTCCCTCGTCCTAGCCTGCCTCCCCTCTTCCACCTATCCCCCCCACCCATTCTCGAAGGTCCGTTGTAGCATACCACCCCGGTCCCATCCCCCCCGTTTCTCCATCTCTACGTCGCCTCAACTATCCCCCTCGTGTCGTCTCGCCACCAACGGTGCTCAAGCCTCTACCCTCTGTCCGCCTGTCCAACGTCGCAAGCTTCATCCCAACCAGCCCCTCGCACCGACCATGTCTGACCCCAACCAGAGCGTCGTCGACCCCGCCGCCAACATCAACGGCGCCGCCCTCGCAGAGGCACCCGCCAGCGAGAACCCCGGCAACACCGGCGACGAGGCCCTCAAGGTAAGTCCGGCTGCACTGGCACTCCAGGAATTGCCTTGATGGAGGGCAGCATGGCGCCAATCAGGGGCTTGCACAGACGGGCATGCCAAAAAGCTAGGCCCAGCCGGGCTCGACGGGCCGATCGCATGGCCACCTTGCCGGCGCAGAGGCTCGCACCATGTCGATCTTGGAGCTTTCGAGAATCGCAGACTAGACCAGGACCTATGCTGCTGTTGCCCGGCCTGTCTGGCCAGCTGTGTGCCCATCGATGAGCGCGGCATGTCGCTGACCGTCCCTGCTCCGTACCTCCCGCTTCCGCTCGCTCGCAGGTTTTTGCCGGCAACCTCGCTTTTGCCACCTCCGAGGATGAGCTCAAGACGATCTTTTCCGAAGCCGGCACCGTGTAAGTGCCTCTGCCCTTGCGCTCGTCCTCGATGGCTTCTGCTGCCGGGGCTGGCGGTCCTGGATGGCTTGCGAGGGAATGCCGCTGACGATGGGACCTGCCGACTGCCTCTGTTCGCGCTCTGCACCTCTTTCGCTCTCTCATCGACCTGCCCTTTGCCACAGAACACAAGCAACGATCATCACGCGCGGCACCCGCTCGCTCGGGTACGGCTTCGTCACCTACTCGTCCGAGGCCGAGGCGCAGAAGGCGGTGCAGCTGCTCGACAAGCGCGAGGTCGGCGGCCGACAGATCAGCGTCGAGAGCGCCAAGCCCCAGGCCCCGCACGTCGAGGGCGCGGCGAGGAAGAGCGCCAAGAAGAAGAGCGAGAAGAAGGCGCAGAGCAGCGGCGTGAGTAGCCAGCGCTGGCGGGCGGCCGGAGCCGCCGCAGTATCCCCTCTCAACTCTCCACCCTCCTCGTGCCCTTTGAGGGACGGCGTGAAACTGACTGATCGACCTCCTCCTGTCCTGCCCTGCCTCCTTGCTAATCAGGCCCGCGCCGCTCGACGACCTCGGGCGGACGACGGCGAAGAGGGCGGCGCCGACAACGACGAGGTCAAAAAGGAGGGCGCCGATGCCAACGGTGACGGCACCGCCAAGACGTCCAAGAGCCAGAGGAAGAAGAAGGCGTCCAAGGCCAAGGCCGAGAGGGCCGAGGGCGAGGCCAACGGCGCTTCCGGCGAGTCGCAGCCCAAGGAGCCCAAGGCCAAGCGCCAGCCCCGCGGCGCCCCGACGGGCGAGCCGAGCCAGACGCTCGTCTTTGTCGCCAACCTGGCGTTTGAGACGACCGACGACACGCTCAAGGCGGCGTTTGAGCAGGACTACAAGATCAAGTCGGCGCACGTCGTCAAGAGGAAGGGCGGCAACCGCAGCAAGGGCTTCGGCTTCGTCGACTTTGCCGACCACGCCGAGCAGCAGAGGGCCATCGAGGCGGCCCAGGGCAAGGAGATTGACGGCCGCACCATCAGCCTCAAGGTGGCCGTCCAGGACGACCGGGACAGCATCAAGCCCGAGGCCGATGGTGACGCCGCCCCCGCCGTCAAGCAGGAGGCCAGCGCGACGGCCTAAGGGCGAGTCCCGCACACGCGCGCCGATCCGCCGCGGTCGGGCTTCCGAACTGACGTGGGCCTGACCCGGAAGGAAGGGGGGGAAGTGGGACTCTCGATCGGTACGTGGCGGCACCGAGGACGGGAGATGTAGCCGTGTCGGGACGATCGAGCCGGCCTCTTGGCCTGCTCTGCCCCAACGACGGCGGCGGCGGCAGAAGCAGCAGCAAAAGCAGCTCGTCGACGAGGCGGGACTGAGCTGCTCGTTGGGCCACGTCGACCGTCGCCATGAAGCGGAAACGGAGGCCCGCACGAGGCCCGAAGTTATGCAGTCATGTTTGTCTACCGCAGCCTGCGCCGCCATCACGGCCATCCACCCACGCGATCCTCGCTTTCCGCTCTGCACCTGCCATGCCGGGATAGGGCGCGGACAGGGCGCTGCAGCGGTGGTGGTGGTGGTGGTGGTGGTGGCGGCGCTCAGTATCGCAATAAAACGAAGATGAAGGACGGGGCGTTGGTCGGTTTGTGCCGGGAATGTGCCGGGACCGGGAGCTGGGCGTGGTCGTGTGGCCGGGGAGATGAGCTAACCAGCGTCGATGGGCGTGGCTCGTGCGTGGGGCCAACCTCCACAAGCGCCTGGCAAGGGGGGCCGGATCGCGGCTTGGCGCCGACATCTGGCAGGGTTGCCTGCCAGCTTGGCCCTCGTTCGCCGTCGCCGTCGCCGTCGCCCACGCTTTCCTTCCCTTTCTCCTCTTCCCAGATTCCCCATCTTCCATCCTCCCCATCGACGCTCCAGCATCGCCGTCGAGACCACGCTCTGCCTGTGCATCGGATCCTTTTCATCCCCTGGTCACGCACCTTTGTCGCGTCCCTCCGCCGCTCGCTCTGCTTGATGCCGACGGGCAGCACCACCGCGACCGTCACCGCCGCCGCCTCTCGACTGCTTCTCCACAGCAACCTCGGCGCACGCACCCTTACCCGGGTATCCACATCCCGGCCCGCGACCCGCTACCTGGCTTCCTTGCCCTTTGCACCCCTGCCGCTGCAGATCCGCGCCATGTCGTCGACCAACAACGCCTCGGCCGCACCCGCCGCGCCACCACCCAAGCTGCCGACGTTTGCCAAGTCGCCCGTGCCGGCCAACCCGCTGGGTCCGAACACATACGTCAAGACGGCGGCGTGCCTCATCATCGGCGACGAGGTGCTCAACGGCAAGACCAAGGACTCGAACTCAAACTACTTTGCCAAGTTTTGCTTCACGCTGGGCATCGACCTGCAGCGCATCGAGGTCATCCCGGACGACACTGAGCAGATTGTCGAGGCCGCCCAGCGCCTCTCGGCGCGCCACGACCTCGTCATCACCTCGGGCGGCATCGGACCCACCCCGGACGACATCACCTACGAGTCGATCGCCAAGGCCTTTGGCGCCGGCCTCACCTACCACGACGAAACCATCCGCCGCATGGCAGAGAACCTAAAGGCGCGCAACGTCGACACCTCGACCGTCACCGAGGAGATGATCACGGCGAGGAAGCGCATGGCCCTCTTCCCGGACCGCGACGCAGAGGTCATCTACCCCACCGAGCAGCTCTGGGTGCCCGTCGTGCGCATGAAGGGAAAGCTGTGCATCCTCCCCGGCGTGCCCCGGCTCTTTGAGGTGAGCTCGCGGCGTCCCCAGGCCTGCGCGGCATCCACGCGGCGGAAAACTGACATCCCGACCCGGCCTCCGTTCTGCTCCTACCCATCGCGACCGCGCAGGCCCTGCTCGACGGTCTGGAGCAGTACATCCCCATCGACCCCAACCGCCCGCGCCCCTACCGTCTGCTCATCCACACCCGGCTGCCCGAGAGCAACATCAGCCCGTTCCTCGTCAAGCTGACGGAAAAGTGCAAGCCCGAGGGCATCAAGGTGGGCTCGTACCCCAAGTGGAACAACGGCGTCGACGTGTCCCTCATCGGCGAGGACCTCGGCCGACTCCAGGAGCTGGGCAAGGAGGTGGAGCGCGAAGTCCAGGGCACCATCCTCGAGCAAGGCAAGGTCGGCGAGACGCCTGCCGCCGCCGCCGCCGTCGCGCCCACGACGGGTAAGATGTAGCAGGTCGAGCTGGTCGGCGCGAGCGGGTCGTAGAACGATGGTGTTGGAGAGCGTCGCTGGAGATGGCGGTGCGGCGAGTGGTAGGCGGAGTATCGTCTAGAGCATGCACAGATCTCCCTCTCTCTCCTCGGGACCGGCCCATCGGACAGCCCCTTGGAAGTCAAAGAGACTCTAAGCAATCCTTCAAGGCCAGACGACCGTGCTCCTCGTCCGGTCGGCGGCGTCGTGTGAAAGCGAAAGAGGCTCAACCCGACCCAGCCTCTGGCACTCGCGCAGGCCGTGCCGCGTAGCGCGTCGAGGTCCATGCTGAGCCTGTCGAGAAGAAGGTCGGTCGGTGTCGTCGTCATCGTCATTGTCGTTGTCGTCGTGGTGATTCTTCGCGCTGGCGATAGGGAAGGAGGGGTCGAGCTCGCGCCTGGATCCTGGAGGAGAATGGTGTGCCTCTCCCGCTGCGATAGCTCGCTCAAGCGGAGGATGCCACTACGTCGGACCCGACTCGTCTTACCCTAGCTTGCCGGCCTGGTCGCTGCGTCGAGCTGCCACTTCGGCACGTCCCCGCGGCTACTTTGGGCAACCGCATCGTATCTCCCTCCGACGCATCCAAGCCCAAACCACGGCCGGCCCAACCCAACACAACCCGCTCCGATCCGATCCGATCCGATCAGGTTCGGTTCGGTCCGATGCCGATGCGCTACGGTTCGATCTTCACAGCCACGTTGCACGCCAGGAGAGAGGGTCAGCGGAGGATGCCAAATGGCTTGATCCTCATTGGTCACTCTCCTCTCTGGCGCCGTCTTGTTGGCTACACTCGATCGATGGGCACGGTGGTATGATGATGCCGCCGGCTCGTGGGCCTGCCACGCACGACTCCGGCTGCACCTTCGGCTTCATGGACTTCGCGAGATTTCCTGCCTGCCTGCCTGCCTGCCTGCCTGCCTGCCTGCCGGCCTGCCTCTCTGGCGCGCATGCAACCAATGAACCCAGCCTAAGCCTACGCCCGTTGCATCGCTGCTCGCTCGGCTTCTCCGCATCATTTGAGCCTCCATCCCGATGGTGCTGGGATGCTACAGTAACGCCCAGCTAAGCAGCGAGCAAGCAAGAGTAGTGTTGCCGCGGCGAGCCCAAACCCATTCGTACCTGGCTGCGAGCTTGCCGACGCTTGCATAGGGACAGGGAAGGTCCTCCCCTGTCTCGGGCTGGACGATCGGATCCCCCCGAACCCTAGCCTGCCGTCTGCTGGTCCAGCTTGCCCCCTCTTCACCCCCTATTTTGAGGGCCCGATACTGTAGCCGGAGCGGGGCTGAAAACGGGCTCCTGGCCGCCGGTGATCCGGTGGCGCTGTTCAGTTCGAGCAAGCAAGCAAGCTAAGGTGGCCACGCCGAGACCGAGGCACGGGAAGAGACCGGTTGATCAACGGACGCGGCAAGCTCAACCTCGACGACGGCGGAGCGGCAGAACTGCGACTGGGAGCGAGCCAGCAAGCTAAGGTGGCGAAGTGGCGCTGGGCGGATCAACCGATTCCGCACCCTCCGCCGTTTTGGCTCTGGCTCTGGCTCCGGCTCTAGCCAAGGGCCACCGATGGCCAAGTCGACTGGATGACACCCAGCCGTGACCGGTCGAGGCGATGCACGTCGAGCTTGGTTGCTTGCTTGCTTGCGCGTTCCGGCCTTTGCCTGCACAGCCTCGGTTTCGTCATGGCCTTCGACGTACGGTTTCGGTGTACAGTAGGTGCCTAGCTGCATTCTCTTGCACGTTGCGCTTGGTCCTCGAAGTCGGAAGTGACTTTCCGGTACACCCCGCCTCTGGCGTGCCTGCCGGCCTGTGGGCCGACTGCTGAGCTGGTGCCCGATGTTGTTATGCGTGGTCGAGCGAGCGTTATCCGCCGCCCGTTCCTCGCCGCGGTTGTCTCGAATCACACCCCCTTCGCTACGCCTGACGTGGCCACGTTACGTTACGCTACGGAAGATGGACGAGGCGAGGCCGTGTGAGCTAAGGCGACACATCGCCGGCAACGCAACGCATCGCAACGCATCGGCCCTGCCTTCCGGAGTCCATCGAGCGCATCGGCACGCTGGCCTCATCGGTCAGTACCGTACAGTAGCATGCCTACCGAATCGCGGCTCGACACTCGACACTCGACACTCGACACTCGACACTCGACACTCGACACTCGACACTCGACACTCGACACTCGACACTCGACACTCGACACTCGACACTCGACACTCGACACTCGACTCGACTCGACTCGCCATAAAGGAAGCGAAATGGCCTCATCGCATCGCATCATCTCCGGGCGAAAACAACATGAGGGCGAGGCACGCGTGGGGGGGCAGTGGTCAAATTGGTTTCGCCTATTGGACGGAAGAGGTCGCTCCATGTCGGCCAGCCGCGGGTTGAGCCGGCGGTACACGCGCGGGCCGTCATGGACCCCTCGAGCACGTTTTCGCAGGGTCCGAGAGGCAGACGCAGCAGCAGCAGCAGCGGCGGAGGCAGCAGCCGGTTCTCACGTACGCTGGCAGCAACGACGACGGCGACGGCGGACGCAACGCAACGCAACGCAACGCAACGCACGCTGGCCTGGCAGCTGAGATGCATCAAAAGGTGGGTCGACCGGCCCATTGGCGCTATTTTTGGCCCTCGCCCGCCGCCGCCGCCTGCCCTGGCCTGCCCTGCCTTGCTTGCTTGCCTCTCCTGCGCCCCGCACGCCCTCACATGTTCAATCTGGCTGGCTGCCACCTGTCCTTTTGTTTCAATTTGAATTTCGCAGGGCCATGGGGCTGTCTCCTCCTCTTCGACCCTCCACAACACTGCCGGGGGTCTCGTCGCCGTCAGCTCACCCATCGCACGGGCTCTGGAGATTACAACGGACGCCATCGACGCCATCGTCCTCGCGAGGGGTCGGGGAGGGGAGGCACCAGACGACATGCGGACAGCCCCTGCTCCATCGAGCTACGGTACTGTATCCGACCGTCGGCGAGCGGTCAGAGGCGGCGGCTCCAACCGTCGGCTCACGGCCGCAGATGCTGCCGTCGTTGAGACAGGCAGGCGGGCATCAGGACATCGTCGATGCGTTCGTGGCGAGGAGCGAGCGAGCGGGGAGAATAATTTGGGCTCCGACTCGGCTTTGAACCGACAAGGAGTGGGCCAGCCAACGTTGCAGGCAGGCGGTCTAGCCCGCATATCGAGCAGCCGGCTTGCCGTACCTCTCTGGCGGCGCCGTCGATGGGCGGTCTGGCCTAGGCTGGGTCGGCAGCAGCGCAGCGCAGCCTGGCCTGGCCACGCCCATCACCCGCCTCGCTCTGATCTCCGTCGATTGACGGGGCGTCTGCCGCTCTGGTCGAGGCTTACCTGAACGTGCCAGCCAGCCAGCCAGCCCGCCGGCGCCTCTCGGAAACGGTACGGATGACGGTAAAATCCTGGACGATGACTCTCGGCGATCACGACAATTGCCTGCCTACGCCTGTCCTCTGGCGATACGGTGTGCGCGTGCTTTCGATCCCGCTCTTGACGAGGCAGCCGGCGGCGGGGGGTCATGTTCCATCGCGCACTTTGGCGGCGGCGGCCAAGCTTCTGGTAGCTCATCAACGGAACAAAGGCAGGCTTCGCGCCGGCCTGCAGCTGCGAGCAAGCAAGCTAAGCACTGTCTTCCCACCGTGCGTACCTTAACCTCCTCGATCGCATCACAAACCTACGAACGCTGAGCTTGGCCTGCCCGTCGCCTCCCTGCTTTCGCTGCTTGACTAACCGTGAGCCAAAACGGCGAGGCTAGGGGGCGTGTGTGCCGCCGAGATCGGACCACATCCGAGGCAGAGGGGCGGGCAGGGTCGGTCGAGAAGCGTCGAGAAGGGGACCACCCCCTGAACGGGCAATCGCAGCACCAGCATGTCATCGACCGTCGCCGGCGGCGGCTTGCCTGCCCGTCTGCCTACCGCACCGTATTCTACGCCGCCGCGCTGGCCGTGCTTCATCAAGATAGGGCGGCAGGGGAAAGGCGGGGGGCGTCGCCCGGCGCTGCAACGGCCCGAAGCAGCGGCCACTTTTCGCCGTCGCCGACGCCGCCGCCTCCGCCTCTGTCGCTGGGCTCTGTAGACGCACACCCCGCCCGGGCTGTACGTAAGTGCCTACATACGTGCGCTTTCCCCAGTGCATTCCAGCAGAGCTGCTGCTGCCATCTGGATCAAGCAGCAGGCAGGCAGGCAAAACCGTACCGGTCGGGGCTGTGCCGCGGAGCTGCCAGAGTAGTTAGCGATAGCCAGGCTAGGCCGGCCGGTCGGCAGGCAGGCACCCCGGATGCAAGCTGGCCGACAGCAGGCAGGCAGGCAGATGATATGAAACGTGGCACCTCTCACGCTACGGGGGCGCCGTAGCCTAACTAGGCTCTGCAGGCAGGCGCCGCGCCAAAGAACAACAAACGACGACGACGGAGCGAAGCGGCATCGCCGACCGGTAGCCTGGCACGCCTGCCAGCTGCACAAAAGCGCACCCCACCTCCGATGTACGCCGCGCCATCTCTCCGCTCCCCCCCACTTCCCGTTTCCTTGCTGCTCCTCGAAACCTAGCCTCGACCCGCCCGAGCTTGCTTCTCCTCCTCCTCCAGCTCCTGCTCCTCCTCCTCGTCGCCGCCATCTGACCTTCCTCTGCCACCGTGCCCGGTAGCCTCTCTCTTGTCTCGTCGATACATAAGCAAGGCATCGACCCGTTGCGTTGCCAAGGCGCTTTATCTCCGCTAGCCCGGGATTTTCCCCACCACCACCCAACCACCCACGCACCCACGCACGCGATCCAGCAACTTGGCGCCAAGCAAAAAAAAAAAGTGCGGCTGTGCCGTACCTAACTGCTAGCACCCCCATCCAGCGGCCTCGATCTCCCCTTCGACGTACGTCGTGCGGCATCTTGGTTCCGGTCCACATCCTCACAGACGTCCAGAAACAGCCTCAGATCGACAAGGGTAGGTCATTGTCGTCGTCTTCGCCCTATTCCCCTCGTCGAGCTACTTAAACCTCGCGCCCCATCCTGGGGCCTTTGTCGCGCCGCACCAGGGCTGACCAATTAACGCAGAGGCGCTGCCTTCTCGACGTCCCATCCCCGCACCGATCAAACAGCCAGCCAGCCAGCCAGCCAGCCAGCCCCACCGTCGTTATTGAGAGGACCGCCTCGTTATTCAGCTCGCAACAATCCGCACACGATGATTGTCCCCACCGCCCGCACCGTCTTCGGCGCGTCGGCGATGCTCGCCGCCTCGGTGCTGTCGACGGCCGGCACCGTCGCGGCCCAGGCCAACTCTCCGAGCGGGCTGACCGCAGACACCGCCTGCAACTCGGTGAGTGCTCGTCAAGCAGCTTTGAACCGATGTATGCCGCCGCCGCCGCCGCCGCGAGTCTCTCAGCTCATCGTCTCGCTCGACGCGATCCGCCCCGCGACTTTTTATTTTTCATTGTGCCCCGCAGAACCTCTGCCTCAATGCCATCTACGACATGAGCGCCAACCGCATCAACTACACGATGACCACGCAGCAGGGAGGCAAGCAGATTGGCTGGTACGCCGTCGGCACCGGCAGCCGCATGGCGGGCTCGGACATGATGGTGAGTGCGCGATGCGGCGCGCGCGGATCCAACCCACGCCTTCGACTTGGTCGACGCGCCCGTCGCGATTCTTCCTTCCCGGTCGCTTATCCGTATGCCCTCCTGCATCCCCCGTTGCCTGTCGCTCCATACGAACAGATCGGATGGGTCGGTACCGATGGCAAGCCCATCATGTCGCAGAGGACCGCCTCGGGACACCGTATGCCGACCACCGCCATCACGGCCCAGGCGGCCATGCCCATCAACGCCCGCACCTTTTCCAACAGCACGGGCACCGCCTGGTCCTGGTCCTCGCCCGTCTCGTCGTCGTCGTCGCTGAGCCCGTCTGCTAAGACGAGCTTCATCTGGGCCGTCAACGGCAACAGCAACCCGGCCGACGACCCGTCGGCGGCGATCCGCGAGCACACCGACTACGGCGTCTTGAACCTCGACCTGACCAAGGCCTACACGCCGCCCGCCGATGGCAAAGCGCCGCCGGTGACGACCACGCCGGCAACAAGCAATGGCCAGACGGGCGACGCTTCGGCCTCGTCGGGCGGCGACGGAGACGAAGGCAGCTCCAAGACCTACAGGCTCATCCTCGCCCACCTGGTACGTCGTCGCCCGCCAATCCCCTCGATGACGCGTCCGATGCGTGCATCGCCTGGCGTCGCGTAACAACGCTGACCCGCTCGTGACTCCACCCCTTGTTCGTCCCGCACCCATCCCCCGTGCTCCTCCGCCTTCCCTACTGGTCGTAATCTCCCTCTCCCCCTTCCTACCTCGCCTCGCAGATCTTCATGACTCTGGCCTGGATGGTCGTCGCCCCGATCGCCGTCCTGATCGGCCGATACGGCCGCACCACGATGAAGGCGTGGTACCCCTGGCACCAGAACCTGCAGTTCGGCACCCTCGTCCTGGCCATTGTCGGCTTCGGCGTCATCGTCTACATGGTCGAGGACGGCGGCGGCGGCCACTTTGACAACCTGCACGCCAAGGTGGGCCTCTCGGTGTTTATCCTCGCCGTGCTGCAGGGCGTCCTGGGCATCACGGGCCACAAGACGCGGCGCTTCAACCCGATCCGCATCGTCCACGTCGTCGTCGGCGTCGTGACCATGGCGCTGGCCATCTGGAACGTCGGCCTTGGCTACGAGCTGTGGAGCGAGCAGCACGGCACCAAGGCGTCCAAGTACATCATCTGGGGCGTCGGCTTCGGCCTGTTCGGCGGCCTCTGGGTGCTGGGCCTGGCGCTGCTGCCCAAGCAGCTCAAGACGTGGAAGGCCGAGGAGCAGGAGAAGCGCGGCCTGCCGTACCAGCACGACCAGCCGCCGGCCCAGTACCAGGACCAGCAGCAGCACCGCCGCAACCGCGACGACATCCGCCTCCTCGAAAAGTCGCAGCCGCCGTCGCTCGAGTAGGCAGCCGATGGACCGCTCGACCTCGCGACCTCGCCGCCGCCGCCATCATCCGACTCCGATAGCATCGATCGGCCCATCGGCCGACTCCTCGCTCTTTCTCGCGGCCCTTTCTCGCGGCCGCTTTCCACGCCTTGTTGATTGATACCACCTAGTCTCGTCGTCTTTCTTCCGGCCAGGACCTTCGCCTTCACCGTCGTTGCATCCGTGTACATAGCCCCGAGGCGCAGCCCAACACGCGGGCAGGCGGCCGACCGCCGATCGCGGCCTCGATCCGATACGCGAGGGGCAGGCCTCTCGCCTCTGGTCGACGGGTGAATCGACGACGCCCTGCCCCGTCGCGCCGGCCCCCGCTCCACGACTGGAGATGGGGGTGCACCCTCCTTGAACTATCGCGCCGCATCCAGCCAAAGCCTTGACATTCATTCGCGCGGTCCGAGCGATTCGGCCAGAGGGGAGAGACAGAGAGGAAGCGCTTCGTCCGCCCGGTGGCTCGAGTTGAAAGGAGAGGAGGGGATCGTGGGGAGACGGCTGGCTATGATACAAGGGACGGGGGACGCGAGGCGGTTGGGAGAGAGCGGAGGCGGGTCCCACCTCTGCACTCCTCCTCTCCATTCGCCCTCGTGGGGAGGACCGTCCCTGGCGAGGGTTAGTTCCCCTCCAGAGGGCGAGTCCTCCTCACGAGCGAGAGTGACGCTCGCGAGGGGGTAAGCCTGCTCACGAGGGCGAGTCCTCCTCACGAGGGAGGCCGTCCTCCTCACGAGCGAGAGTCCTCTTCACGAGGTAGGGAGGGAACGAGGACCGAGACGACGGGAAAGATGCTGCTATGCGACGGACGGACGGACGAAGGTGAGATGCTGACGGGACGGGCCGAGAGGGGAACGAGGGTGCCGGTGGAAAGAGAGACATTGTTCGTGTGCCGGCCGAACAGCTGCTGCTGCGAGTGAAGACGCTGCAGATGGTGTTGCTCCTGCTGCCGCTGCCGGTGGTGACGGTCTGGTGATGCTCGTGCTGATGGTGCTGTGACGAAAGGAGCCGGGTCGATGCGTGGTCGTGTCCGCCCGTCTCCGGACATGGAGAAAACGGGCCGGTCCGCGAGCGGGTATACACTGCTATGCGCTGAGAGAAGAGGGTGACGGACGGGATGCTTGTTGATGTCGGCTCGGCGTCAATGGTCGTGGTCGCAGTCGCGCTGGGCCTAGACGCCAATCTCGAGGCTCTGGACGAGGTCGGGGAGGTGCTTGGCGCGTTCCTGCTGCCTCTGGCGGTCGGCCGCCTCGGCCGACATAAAAGTCTCGACCGTGGTGACCATGGTGATGGACGAGTAGGCGCCGCCGTCGACGTCCTTGTCGACCACGACCGTGGGCACGTCGGTCTGGTACGACGCCGACGAGTCGCGGCGGTACATGGCTGCCTTTGTCGTCGTCGTCGTGCTGGTGGAGCTCAGGCCGGCGTCGCCCGAGGCCGACAGGTAGTCGTCCTCGATCTGCTCCTCGTACTCGTCATCGTCGCCCTCGTCCTCCTCGTCGTCGTCGTCGTCGCTCTCAAAGTCGTCGTCCGACGAGGGCAGGCAGTTGGGCGCGTAGACCTTGATCAGCTGGAAGCGCTCATCGCCCGTGAGGGCGTCGACGGCCTCGTCGACCGTGGGGCCCTGCTCGTGTTCCGCGACCGTGAGGCTGGCCGACGACGGCGCGGTGGCGGTGGCGGTGGCGGTGACGGGGGCGGTGGCGGCAGCGTCGCCGAAACGGTTGAGGAAGCGGAGAGCCGCGCCGGTCAGGGCGTCGGGGCGGGTGACGCTCAGCAGGAAGGGCGCGTCCTCGATCGTGGCGTGCTCAAACGACTTGCAGTTGGGGAAGAGGGCCTTGTAGTCGCCTCCGACGGTGCGGTCGTAGAGCGGGCTGCTGTCGCCCTCGACGACAAAGAGGTGGCACCTGATGGCGTTGCGCGCCTCGTCGGGCATGCGCGAGCGCAGCCAGTAGAGGTCGAACCACCAGTCGCGCGCGGCCTTGTTGCCGTCCTTGTGCAGGATCAGCCTCTCGACCCACGTCTTGTTGAGGTACGAGCTGATGTGGTGCGGGATAGACTCGTCGCCCGCCCAGCGGTAGGTGCAGCCCTGCACCACCTCGCCCGGCATCTTGACGGCCTCGGCGGGCGTGCCCGCCAGCTCGCCGTGGTGGACCTCGTACCACGTCTCCTCGATGAGCTCCTTGATGCCCTGGAACGACTCGATCATGAACTCGCTCTCGAGCTCGAGGATGGGCGAGGTGAACATGACGCTGGTGACCAGGTCCGGGCACTTGGAGGCGATGCGCAGCGCCACCAGGCCGCTCATGCTGCAGCCGAGCAGGTGCACCTCCTTGCTCCAGGCGGGCGGCGCGTCGAGGTCGCGGCCGGGCACGGCGCGGTTGCAGAGGCGCTGGATAAAGGTGGCAATGTCGGCGGCCTTGACGTCGAGGTCGTAGCCACGCTGCGCGTCGGGGCGGATCGGGATCTGCGGCGGGCGAACAGGGGCGAAGTCGGGCAGGGGATACGATGGCGTTGGGAAGGAGGGCGATCAGGGTCCATTCTCGGCGAGCTCAGCACGCAGCCAGCAAGGCAGCCGGCCGTCCAGCGTCGGCTCACATCTTTGGTCAGTCCGTGACCGCGCGGGTCGATGGCGACCAGGTTGAAGCGGCGCGCCAGTTCCGGGTCGGCCAGCTGGTCAGCGAAGAGATGCGCGCAGCTGAAGCTCTCTGAAGGCAGGAAGAAGACGATGGGGTAGTTTGGATCGAGCTCGAGCTCCTTGTGGCACGACGCCGCGCCGCCATCGGACTGGACGAGCGAGGCGGCGCGGCTGCGGGCCTTGCTGCTGCGGCTGCCGACCGAGAGGCGCTTGCGGTGGCGCGACGCGGTGCTGCCAGTGGGGGCCGACTCAAAGTGGGCAGCGTTGGCGGCGGCGTGGACGAACGTCTGGCAGCTGGGCGTCGAGAGGAGGTAGTGGAAGGTCACCTCGCCGTCTGCAAAGCGCAGCATGGCGGGGTCCTCGGGGAGGGACAGGAACGGCATGGTGGACGAAGGGGGGGCCAAGAGACCGATGCGATGCGTGCGGTAGATCTACGTGGGTTGGGAGCGGGGAGCGGGGAGCGCGTGAGGCTCGCGGAGACGTGGGCTGAATCGAGCCGGTGTCGCGGTCGAGGTCGAGGTCGAGGTGAGGTCGAGGAGCGGTGGATAAGGGCGATCGACTGCGAAGAGACCAGAGGACGACAGGCGGTGAACCTTGCGTCGAGGCGGGGGCGTGGTCGGTCGAGAGGAGGGGACGAGGCGCAATAGATGATGTCCGGGATGAGAGCTCGCGAGCGAGAGAGGGAGGGAGGAGCGAGATGGCGGTAAGGCCTGCCCGCCGTGGGTATATGTAGGCAAGCAGCGCGAGGCAGGGCGGGGCCGCTGCCTAGGATGGCGAGGGGGATGCTGGGCGTGGAAGGAGGGGACCCTCGGGCATGTGGCCTTCCAAGCTTGGCAGCTCGGGAAGCCAACAACAGGCGGGCAGGCGGGCAGGCGGGCAGGCGGGCAGGCGGGCAGGCGGGCAGGC